TTAAACCCTGTCCATGGTTTCCATAGAAACACATTCCTTATGATTGTGCTTATTGCACCCCTGAACCTCCGCACACGTTGAAGTTAGTGCCACTTTGATCTATTCCCAATTGACAACCATAGTAATTTCTTCTTTTGATGGATCTTGTAGGCCTTGAAATGTGTTGTTGAGAGTGATCTTGAATCCATTGAGTTTGTCAGCATCTCGATGGAAGGCTGTATTGAACCTTTGTAGTGCTGTTTGTCTAGTCGTTCAATATTTTTTTAGCCTCAGTTTCATCTTGGCAACCACCATGTGGCAGTCTGAAGCTATGTCAGTTCCTCTCTTCGTTCTCATGTCTTCCATTGACCTTCTGAATATTTTAGTGTTGCAAATATGATCGATCTGACTCTCTGTATTGTTATCCGGCGAGACCCATGTAGCTTTATTTATGAGTTTGTTGGGAAGATTGTGCCTCTTGTAATCATTTTGTTGAATGCAAATAAATTTGCAAATCTGTCACCATTCTCGTTCCTTTCTCCTAGTCAGTGTATGTCGTCTCATGATATCTTCATACCCGGTGTTGTCCGTTCCAACTTTGGTGTTTAGGCATCTCATCAGAATTGTCAGGTCATTTCCTGAGTACTCCGCTGTAATTGATTTTAGTCTCTCATAGAACTGATCTTTATTGAGATCGTTGGTGGGTACATAACGTGGGGTAACATTCATTGTGACTCCCTCCTCCTTTGTTTTGAAGGAAAATTTGGTGATCCTGATTCCGTGAGATTTCCATCCTATAAGTGTATTACGTGCTTTTTCGGACAGCATCAGTGCAATCCTTTGTGTATACAAAGCATTTTCTTCTTCATGACCATAGTACGGCAGTATCTCTCTCGAATCTAATCTTTTCTTTTCAGCTGCCAAGTTGCATCTACTCCTTTCCATAGATATTTGACTGGTTCTCCTAGTCCTTCACATTATCCAAACGTTCCATGTACCTATACTAATTGTTGCTCTGGTATGTTAAAAGGAGCAAAGGAAACTGTATCCCTGCTTCTCACAGTCACAGAAATCTCAAAAAGTACATGAAACTTCAAAGTCAAAATTCACTAGAACTTATCGATTTATGCTTAAAAACATATTTTCAATTCAACAACAAAATCTACAAACAAACTAAAGGAATTCCAATGAGATCACCAACATCAGGACTTATTTCAGAAGCAGTGATGCAGAGACTGGAAGCCCCAGTGATCAAGCCAAAAATTTGCATTCGTTATGTGGACGACACATTCGTCATCGTCAAAAAGGACGAGCTGGAAAACACCTACAAGTTGATCAACAATGTTTTCGATTACATCAAGTTCACAATGGAATAGGAGTCAAACTACCAGTCTTGTATGTATTAATCACTAGAACCGATACAGGATATCTGGAGGCTCAAATATATTAGATGGTGGTTGGAGGTAGTCAACAGGAAACCCTGGACCCGGGTTTCGTGCTACTTGGCACTCGTCAGCAAGGTGTACCTGTAATCTTGAGGTAACTGGTGCTCCCTCAATACATAGTGCCCGCAGTGTCGAGTCACCTAGACTGGTGGCCACATTGCAGCATGATCGATAGCATTCGATCTGCACTAATAAGGACTAGAAAGCATGACATTGATCACCACCCAGTGATCAATCAATTGTGACTCAAATATATTGTATGACGACTCACACAGATCAAATTCTCAATTACAGTAGCAACAACCCAAGAGCTCATAAAATCAATTAAGTATTTCTTTGATTTTTTCTTGATTTTACTGAATGTCTGAATAGGGATTTTCACTCGAACAAAAAGTAAACCTTTAATTAATAGATGCTGAGAAATTATTTCATAAGATTTTGATAACCAATTATATTTAAAACAACTAGTCCCTTTGATAAATTTCGATGATGTAATAAGAAGACGAAGATTATGAGAACTATGTGATATATTAGCGCAATACATTTCGAACAATCTGATCACACATATACTTGTTAAGAGCATTTATACATAAAAATAAAAGGTCAACTAGACTGGAAACGGGGTAAGAGAAGATAATAATGTGAACACAATTCAAAACCTAATCACTCTGGATAATAAGTCAATATTACCAGGGTAGGTTTAAGGTAAGAACAAACTGTTTTTGAACACACAAAGGGGAGATTGTTCGAAATGTGTTGCGTTAATATATCACATAGTTCTGATAATCTTCGTCTTCTTATTGCATTATCGAAACCAATTATATGTTATCAGGAATAGAAAAAATTCTCATATCATTGAGCTTTTTTAATCTGTAGTCATTTTCCAGGTACCAAATGGGATTAACACTCAAAGATAATATTTTCATTCTACAGTTCACTTGGAAAAATAACTCTTACGAATTATAATTGTATGGTGTATTGATTATTTTGAGATTATTTCTACTTTTTTTATCAAGCTATATAATAAAAACACTTATGACCTTGATATTTAGACTGAATATATCTTTTTCACGTTGCTGATTAATGTTAACAAGGTATCCGTGATTTTCTCAGCTGGTATATACTATAGAATAATTCATTCAATTACCTATTAATACATTTACAAAGTTCAATTATAATGGTAAGTTTATGATAATTTAGTTTACAGATCATTTACTTTAAAATGAGTTTTTATCAACAACATAAAACACAATCGAACAGATAAAAAGAATTATGTGTGATTAATTAATATTTGCAACAAAATAATTACCGATTTTTAAAATTTAATTAGGTGATCATAGTTTATAAAAAAAAACCTAATCGTCTTAATTCAATGGACTTAGATACAATGTCTGTTTATTGATTTAAACGATTCAGTGGCAATTTTGCTTATTAACACACATTATCTCGATGTTAAATTTGAATAAAGATTGAATAGTTTTGAACTTTCTTTCTTGATGAGTATTGCTTTATCATAGGTATAAACTTCTAGGAGGTATTTGTGCTACGGCTTTTCATACTGTCATCTTTCTAATTTCGACATTCAAGCACATAACAGGAAAAGAAGTGTTAAACAAATCAGTCTAGGAAAATTGTATGGTTTATTGCTTTCTCCAATCATTATTATCATATTAAATACACAAAGTTGTGTGAAAGAGAAGTATACTTAAGAAGTGTCTTAATTAATGTTTGGTTTGGTTAGACATGTCACTTAGAAAAACTCATTATACACAATAAAGCCTAGAAACTGTAAATTAAATACAAGTGATATAGACTTACCTATAAACGAAAAATGTATCATCTCAAGACTGAAGACTTAATTCATTTAGGGTTAAATACACGGTTCAAAGTACAACTGTCAGAATGAAGTATAGCATCAGAGCTTCTATTAACATTATTCACTAAAGATTTACTTCCAAAACTTAACGACTAATCTAAAGTTGTCTACAACTGAAATATAATTTGAGCATGCTATGAACTGGTCCAGTGTAGCGTGATCAGATATGGTGGACAAATAATACAATTATAGCAAAAATCACACCTTTAATTACTTCTTTAATGAGACTATGCAATACTATGTAAAATTCACTGACTGAGTTGTTAAAAATAATGACATATTTGAATTTGATAATACCAGAAAATTGGAAAAGAAATTCTAGCCTAACAAAATCTGTGACCTAAAATCATGTTAGTAAGTCCATACCACTAATCGAACGACAAAGATGTTATTGTGACAAAAATGTGAGGACGAGATATGACAGAAAATACTACTAATAATAATGTGTGTATAAACTGTTAAAACAGTCAAACGAAACTGTGAAGTGTCATCTGTAGAAGTTCGCATGCATCTACATAGATATACGTGTCAAGAATACTGAAAAAAGTACACCTAGAACAGAAGTAAAAAACATTTATTGATTTTAAAAAGAAAATGCATATACAGTGAAAATTGACATTGATAAATATTTAGCCCATTTCATTAGAATTTAAGTAACACCATGAGAGATTGAAACAGTGATAGATAACTCTCAAATACTTGTGTTTTGTTGAGTCAATTAATGGTGAGGAGAAATGGTGTTAGATGAAAGAAAGATCTAGTTGCTATCATCTATGTGAACGGCAACATTCCGTAATTAATTTCAGTGTTTGTTATTATTATATGTGATGGTCAGAAAACTGAATCAACTGTACTTTTACTGTGATAAGATAATAAACACATATTTTCCAGTTTGTTGTTTTAAATATCATTTGCATAACAACAAGTATCACTCAAACATTTTTAAACCTGAAGGCAATATATATATGAATACTTATCGTGTGACATTAAGTGCCAGAAACTCTTCAAAGATCCATTTATAATGTGTTATGATTATTTGTCATTTTTAGCGTCACATATATCAGTTGACAACTAACAAGTCATTTAATCCATAGATTGAAATCGAGTATACTATAACTTGTAGTGTATTGACCCTAAAATCGGTCGATTTAAACTCACTCTCCTTTACAATAGATCACTAGGGTCGTGATCCACCTTTAAAGTACTGGATTTACTATATCATACGTAATAAATGAAGTCATTATCCCAGGTACACTCTGTGAATGGTAGGAACTAAATTTTCTGACTCAGAAAAGTTCTAGCGAGTAACTGTGACAATCGTAGACTATTCCAGCACGAATATAGTATAAACAGAAATACAACTGTGTGTAGCACGATAGCTTTAAGTCCATAAACAGTAGCAACATCTATATTTCTATTAAACTATCTCCAGGATTTGACTGTTTGCCTTCCAGTGAGTGTGCAGCTTGTAGAGAATTCAATAGCTAAACTTTTACACAAATGATAAAGTTTTAACAAGAGCTGACTTTTCTAGCATCTAATATCACTACTTTTATGCAGTGGATGTTGTTTAATACACAGTTTATAAGTATAAAACGTTTTAGTCAAATCAAGTGTGTCAGTGTTATGAACTGGAAACATTTATTCCATTTTGGCCACTTGTCAGTGGTTAAATCACTAGAGTATAAAAGTATTTACAGCGAACATTAGAAATATATATTTCGGAAAGGAAATACCAATATTATTATATAAGCTTCAACAACAAAACTGATTTTCATCTAATCGACTGATGAAGTCACTTATTAAGTAAACCTAGGGCTTCTCATTTTTCATATGAACGCTAAAAATACTATCTGATTGTCAGGATCGCAGCGAAAAAGAAGTCCAAGCTGTTTTTCAATAGCTGAAATCCCAATCCTTCAATCATAAAAAAATCTCACCTAAATAAATGACACGATTCAGGTGAATATTGAACCATACTTAAAGAGATAATCGAAAAGAATATCATCACACTGTTTTCTTCGTGTTCAAACAACTAATTCACATTGTATAAATAAAAGTTCAATTTCTGTTGGTTATCAAGAATTTATACATAACTCGTTAAATGAGTGATGGACATTTCTGTACTCTACTTTTAGACGTAATTGAAGTAAATAAACAAAATTTCAAGTGGAGTTTTAGTATATGATACACATATATATGATACATGCATGTATATGTGAACATTCAGTTAAAAAGTAAAATAGAATCTTTTTTGTCAAAGCTCATGAAAACACTTAAATAAAATAAAATTTCCAATAGTAATGATTCAATGCACTTGATCAAGTGAACAAACAAATATAAACAGACTGGCAAAATATACAAAAATAATATTTCAAAAGAATATTACAATGTGTAATTAATTATTAGTAAATGAGATTTAGCAACAACACAAATAACAGTATTTACAAGTATAACAGGAAACAAAATGAAATGAAAGTAACACATGACGCTTTTTAACTATTAAATTATTTTTAATCTACGGAATGAAATCAATAAATCACAGAATAATTGGACGTAAAGATGTTAACTGTTTTTTTTAAAGAAAATAAATATCTCTCTACCAACGGATGCATATGGGACAATAGTGCATAATAGAAGAATGTATACAAGGAAGGTAGAAACAGGAAAAAAAGTGATAAGATAGCTTGAAATTAACACACACATGCAAACAAACCAAACTAAACGGTTATTCATTTATGAATAATCCCCATCTACTGTTCAGTGTATTTTTCTTCATCAAATGTGTATCAGTGCTCTTTATTATAATATGTCTGCGCATATTTATATAAAAGGTAAATAGAAACATATAAATGGAATTTTCAGTCATGGACAGTCAAATCTAATAGATTATGAGGGAGGGAGAGAGGGAGAGAGAGAGCGCGAGAAAAATACCAACGACGAAGGAAGGAAAATGCATTAATGACAAGTGCTCTCTTTTCAGAGATGATGATGATGATGCTAATTACCAGTGTTTCTTTTTTTGTTTTCCATAATTCGCCGTATATTTATTCACATAACTTCATTGAAATAGAGTGGATCATGAAAATTCTTTCCATCACCAAGCTGAAAAAAGAATAAATCGTTGTGTATGATTAACTAAAGAGGTTCGCTTACAGACCAAATTACAAGCGAACACACCCTTGATACATACACATTTTTATAAAAACAAGGAATTACATAATTATGATAATAAATCGCTGAAAAATTAACATACACAGAATATCGTTACAGAGCATCATATCATACAATACCATATAGCACAATCAAATTTGTAGAAAACCTATTAGGATATAACTTAAATTTGTTAAATAAATGAACGCAATAGGTAAAGAAATATAGTTATGTACATTGAGATGGTGGAGAAGATTTGTAGCTCAGGTGGATGATTTTGGTGGTGTTAGTTATGTACACCTTTATAAAGACATAAATACCTATACAACGAAGGAAATGTGGTGTAATAATATTCACATTTTACAACTACACCGAATAAAAAAGTATGATGTTATGTACAGGTAATGAGTGTTCATCCTAAAGAGGGATAACTCAGTGATCACTTACACGATCATATGCTCGAATTGAAGTTATTACCATCTCTCAAAGAGATACTATCAAGATTAGTCTAATATCTTCAGCAGAAAAAAAAGAAATAAAAGTGGAACTTATGATGCTGCTAATAAACGATAAATGGCTTAAGTCAGTGAGATACATTTGGACGTATGTCATCAGAATTGTTGAGTAAACCGAAAATAGAGGAGCGTGATTTAAGATTTGAGAAGTACGTTTTAATAACATTTACCTCAGAATAAATAATTTTGATAAGTCTTTACTAATTTTGTTTTGATCATCATATAAGGATACATACAAAGGTATTGTCTTTTTAAAGGAAAAAAAGGTTGATATAATTAACTATTACACTGAAGAATTTTATCTATAACACATAAGTAATTGATATAAATTAGTTAAAAGACACGAAACCAACACAAGAGAAAAGCCCTATAATAGACTTTTTATACGATGGCCATACAGAAAATAGTTAGTATCTTAATCTTAGAGAAACAAGAAACAATGTATAAAACAAAAACAGATACATATTGTCAACAATGATAATCAATTAACCATTACTAAAAGTTAGAATATGGTTACACGTGAATCAATTCAAGCATGCTGGTAGTGATAAATGAGTTGTACAGTTGATTCTGGCAACATATATATCAGTGAAAAGTAATAAAATAAAGAACATTTACAGTGATTATAAATAAAAATAATATATTTGTAATATCTCAAAGAGTAGAAAAAGTGGCTTACACTGAGTCACGAAACGTCAGAAAATCTACTTTTTTACTCACTGTGATAATACAGATGTATTATTTTTATAACAATCTACCCAATGCTCAATTTATTTGAAATTATCAATTCAAACCTTGATAATGATATTTACAATGATTATTTTCTGACTTATTTATGTTTATCGTCAAATGATATTCACGGAAAAATGGAGTTGAGAGAGAATTGAGCGAATACCTTGGTTTCATCTAAAGGCTAATATCCAGTTCAATTGTGTTTCTGATGTGTGGGAATGATAATGATTGGTTGTCTGCTTAGTCAAACATGTAGATAGTCCGACAGGTGTCAGATGAATTTGATATTCCCCCTATCCTTATTATTATTATTACTCACTTATTATTGATTATTGATTGTTGTTAGATTGTGTCGGGTTTTGGTGCGGAAATATATTTATGTTGTGGTCAAGCTAATCACGTGTTCTTGATCTGAGTTTTGTTGACGTCCTGTAGAATAGACACTGAGAGGGAATCTAGTGTAGATATTCGTCTAAGGTAAATTAACGTCCCGGTTGTGTAAACGTATAAACCCAAACGTTATAACAATAGACGAAGTAAAACCGAGCGTTAATTGTTGATCTGTTAATTTTAAGGAGGAGAAATTTGAAAACTGAGAAAAAAAACAACCAACAGCTAAAAACTAGAGGCAAATTTACGAAATTATTATTGTATGAGGACAAAGTAAACAATTAAGGTCAAGTAAATTAGTATTCACTATTTATTGCACCACATAAAATACGTATGTACGACAATTAAGTGAGCTTTGTCAGAAACTGAAAGAAAAATCTGTGAGTATTTTGTTAATGTAGCTCGACTGTCATGTTTACGTCCGTTCCTTCGGCCTCTATATACCTGTTCTATATGTAAGAATCAGTGATAAAATTTGAACGTCCGATCAGAAGTAGGTATATTAAGGTACCATTTATTTATTTATTTGAACACATAAATATTGGCACAAGGGGACACCAAATATATATGCGCCACACAAAACAATGAGAATTCGTAAGGAAAAAAAGAAAAAAACAAACAGATTAGTGTTATAATAATAATAATGGGGGAAACGGAAAGGTACAACCAGAAGGATTATTTCAGTTAAGGAAGATACAACCACTTTTTATGAAGAAAGTAAGAGAAGGTTACAGAAGAATCGCAACTGGCTTCTATTCTGAGCCCTATCTGATAACATCTCTAGCCAATGTGTTACACCATCTCTAGGGCCCCAACCAGTAAGTCGTGAAGGACCGACAGAACAGTCCTGTCCAACGAATCGAAGGCAGCCCTGACCTGATGTCAAGAAACACTACGATTGTTGGCCTATGACAAGTATGACGGTGTTCTAACATTTGGCGGAGGGTAAAGATATCATCAATACATCCTCGACCAGAACGAAACCCAGCCTGCTCCTTGAGAGTCAATCTTTCTCGGGTTTTGAACAACCTACGAAGAATGACGGAAGCCAACAGCTTGGAAGCAATCGGAAGTAGACTTATCCCCCGATAGTTGTTACAGGAACGACGTGAACCCTTTTTAAAGATAGGGACAATTATCGACTCATTCCATGATGTCGGAACACTCTCTACCTCTCAAACTTCTGTAAACAACGTAGTCATTTCCTTAACCAGAAGGCCTCCACCATCTTTAAAAAGATCCGGAGGTAAGTCATCTGAGCCCGGTGATTTGTAGCGTTTCAGTAGTTGGAGTTTCTTGTGGACTTCCGTCTCATTTGGTGGATCAGTTGTCACAGGTCATGGAGGACAGATCTGATCGATTTTGCCAAGGCAGCAGACGAGTTGAACTGCCCTTCGAAGAATTCTGCCCATCGTCCAAGACATCGATGGACATTAGTGATTGGCATCCCATCATCCTCGCAAATTGTTTTGCTCATACCAGATTTCTTGCTGCTAGTGGCTCGGATGAGTTGAAAGAGCCTCCGGTAGTTACCAGGTTCAGCTGCCGCTTCCAGCTCATTAGCACGCTCCGATCACCAGGCTTCTCGGTCCTTATACAAGCTTCGCCCGATTTCATTACGTAACAGTCGCAGTTTGTGGTCAAACTCACGGTCACCCACAGTAGACCGAGGGGCTTTGATGAGTTGTAAGGAGCTTGAAAAACCCAGTATTTATAAGCGGGACGTTTCGCGAAGCCGCAGGCGGCTTTACTCGCCATTTTGATGATGTCATGAAGTCGCAACCAATTTTCATTTATACTTTTCGGTCGAATGGTAGCTAGCTAGCCTAGAAGCTAGCTCGATTCGATACTTACTTGCAACAGAAGTTGCAACCAACTTGCTAATATCAATCCTTTGGTGGCGGTCACTTCGTTGGCCACTGAAAAGTAAGGTCAGATTGGCGCAGGTGTAGCTGATCGCAATGTGATCAATCTGAGTCCAGCATTGAGATGCAGATGGAGGACGCCAGGTGGCACATCGGCGATGACTGTGCCGGAAGTTAGTGCTAGCCAGAAACAGGTTGTGGTCTGTGCACAGTTGCAGTAGACGGTCCCCGTTATCTGACCTGAGACCAACAAGTCCCCATCGGCCACCTAAACGACTCTCTTCTGTGCCTAGACGCCCGACCTGAGCAATCAAGTCTCCGTCTAGTACTACAATATCTGTCGAACGCACTTTCTGGAGAAGAACAGTTAACCGGTGGTAGAATTCATCCTTGATTGCATCCGGGCTGCAATCTGTCGGGGCATAGGCGGAGATGACGAAAAGACATCGTTTCTCACGCCGATTTCTTTTCACTTTTATGGAACTTTCTAATCTAACAGCACATAACCGACTGTTAATGGGGATCCAATCGATTAGTGCTGCCTCAGCTCTAGCGCTTAGTGCGACACCAACGCCAGCAAGACCAGACGAAGGTGCCACAGGGTCCCCCGGATAAGCACACTTAAAACAAGCTTTTTGAAGTGACAGATGGAGAGCGAATTTGTAGTACTTCACCAGAGTCTTGAATACGGGTCTCGGCTAGACAGCAAACGTCGATATTAAGACTTTCCAAAGACAAATAAAGTACTATTATGAGAGCTGAGGATTGAAATTCTAACTTATTTAGCTATTAAGTCATTGCTATCAGCATACATAGATCTGAAATCTTATATTAATGGAAAATGACACATTTCGCGTTTCGCATACTTCAAACTGGGACGTGGTGAAAAATTCTACAGCAGGTGTACAATTAGTTCATATTACACTCTGGTATTGTCTAAATAACAGTTCGTAAGTATTTGGGGCGGTGCCTTAATGGTTAAGTCATTAGACTTCCAATCGGTAAGTCATGAGTCCGGATTCGGCAGTCCGGTAGTACTACCACTCCTTATACAACTAACTTGGTACGAAGCCGAATATATAAACTTACTTTTAGTAAATGTGAGCCAGTCAGTCATACAAAGTGTCGAAATTGACACACAAGTTCAAGCTGCTATATGCCATTAGCATAACGAAATTAAATTCTCAGGGTAAATCGAACAGTAATGGAGGCGGTAGCAGGATTATAAGATAATTAAGAAACCTGATTCCTACAGTAATACAAAGAGTGAATGTACCTGTACCATTGCAAATGATTTTGGGCCATCTCACTTAATCACGCAGACCTCAACCACGTAACCTACACATGTGTAGATGCTTTAGTTCAACAGTCAGTATCTTCATAAACTGATGCCATGTCTTGGTTTGGCTGACCCTTACTTTCTCCTAACCTATTCCTACACTAGCATTCATCGCCGGTTGAGGTCGCTGGTGGATGGGTATACGTAATGTATTTCCTGATAATACCAGTCGATAGAGATTGATTACCTCGCCGATCGATTTCTCATGCTTACCTAGTACTCCGCATACAATCTCAGAACAGCCATCTCGATGGTCTCAGAGTACGCGAGAAACACCTTGAAGGCAGATATGATCAAATACTATTAACCTACGAAAACCCTCTACTGTCAATAACCGTAAATCATGCCAAAAAATATAACAGAGAGAACTGCACACAGTAAACTTATCTCCTTTGGTTGGCCAATGAATATATCATCTACGCCATAAATGACGCAATTTGATAAATGGGTAACATAAAAATAAAATTTATGAAGTTTTGTTTCAAAGATATATTCAGTTAACCAACAGACAGTACTATCACAAAAACTAACAGAATTAGGTCAATTATCTGACGCTCTTTTTGTGACAATACTAGAATTTTTCACTGAATATACATGCATGAAAATATCTCTTTAAGCCGATGTACACAAAACATCACTCTTTTCAGTATGCATATAGGATGGTTCTGTTTAATAATTGCTTATGACATGAAATATATTTTATTTTACATTTGTTCATATTAGAGTAACCTATATTAGTATGAATAATAATAATAATAATAATAATAATAATAATAATAATAATAATAATAATAATGATTCACTTGGTAGGATAAGTGAACTAACTGATCAGACAGCATAACCATAAAATATTCATATTTAAACTAAATCTTATGATTAATAGTCAGTTACTTAATAAATAAATATATTTTAAGATTTACCAAACTATCTAATGTATTCCAAATAGTACAAAAATTACAAACGATTGAATATTCTGTATTAATGAATGTAAGATAGAAAAGACAATTAAAAAAAGAATGAAGTTCAAAATGGCAGTACTTCAACTTTCAATTTTTCTAAATACCATAGATGTCTAGGAAAAACACAAAATGCAACAAGAACAGTGAAAAACATTCGCCAAAGCAAGACAACGGATGATTAGAACTATAATAACGAGAAAAACAAAATAAATGACAAGTTAATCTAAATATTACAACAGAGATCAATTTTCTTTGGTGTAAATCAGGGTTTCTAGCTAATAAACCTTTTCACTACAAAGACCTCAAACAGGTTAGATCAACGATTAGTGACTTTTTCCAATCAACAAATTACTAGTTAATTATTGATTCTAATGAAAATTGGAATAATCCAAGATGATTCCTATGTTATGATGCAAATAATTTCTACACATATACAAACACAAGTAACATAGGTAGATAAACAACAATACTAACATTGATCATACTTTCCTAGCTGAATAGATATCGTATAAACTAGATAATAAGCAACAAGCAATCATTTAAGTAAATCTATGTATCGCGGAAAATACGATTTTTCGTCTCCAACGTTTTGCACTGATATAGACAAGCAAACAGGATGGACGACTATGCATTCTTTAGAAGAATCAACAGCGTTATAATATCAATCAATATTTTGACAAAATTGAGTAAATAAAAAAAGATTAACAAATGTAGCTCATGTTTACATATGTACTTTTATGCACATAATATCTTATTGTTGTTTTAATATCTAGATAATAATCTTAGGTTCATTAAAAATTACAATTCTATATTTGCATAATGATTGCTATATGAAAGCGAATCATAATACAAACAAAAATAGCCGGAGGAAATACAACAATTGTAAGACAGAAACCAGAAAGCTAGTCAGTGTATGGCAAGCACACAAAGTTAGCAGAATCGGATAGACGCAAGTGAAAAATAAATGAGAACTGAAATTAGAAAATAAAATCTTTTTATCCTAGTAGAAAATTAAAGAACAAATAATAGTAATAATATAGTTTTTCACCATTATTACAGTACTCATAAAAACACAACTTAGTAGGGTTAATTCACAGATGAAAAAACTTATTTACTATGCAGATTAATTTACAAGTGAACACACTGGCATGCTGGTTGAGCCTAGCAGATCACCGCAACATATGAGAATATGGAATTAGGGAAGAAGTAGTAAATCAAAAAGTTATAAAAGCGCAGTTCATATCACGGTGCTTCAATTTTAAGGGAGTAGAACTAACCTTAAACTTATTGTTACTATCATTACTAATATTAGTGTCATCATTATCACTGTCTAGTTGAATAAGTTGTGCACACTTTCAGTATGAATATTAATGTGAAAAAGGGAGAAGAAACAACAGTACCAACAATGACATAGTTAAGATAATAGGATTTATATAAATAATGATTGTAATCACCATCATCATTGTCACTAATATATATATATATATATATATATATTAATGAAATGCCAACTCATTACTCATTGAAATGAGGAAATTACTATGAGAAAGTCTGCATCACTTTCATTTGTCTTAATAAGCAAACGTGCTCATAGACGTTTACGAAAATGGTTTATACACTGAGATTTAACAAAAGGAATGTATACATAATATAAATTTTGCTAAACGACAGAACTTTAGTCAAAATATAAATTGTATCATATTACGAGAAAAAACGAAATGAACATTGACTGCTTTTTATCCTTATGTAGTCCGATCAAACCATTTATGCTACTAGTATGTAAGTGAGACCGACATGACTTTATTGTCAACTGTGAGAAGATAAAATAAGCATTTACATTAATATTAATATTAATGATAATAAAGCATTTGCTGGTTGATAACGTTGTAGACAGTGAAACTATATAAAACATTTATGTATTTGTAACAAACTCAAACACAGAAAAATAAACTTTTAATATTTAAGCTTACTGCTGATCATTAATCGAACTATCTACATTTTGTTCATTAGCTCCACGGGATGCTAGTGATAATCATAGCAGATAGATTTTAAGCAAACGAAGAAAACAAACTAAGCCCTCTCATTAGATATTTTGTAATGTGCAAATAAATTTTTCAAGCAGATACCGAGAAACCCTAAACATTATTTTGTCCAACTACAATAAAAAAAACAGAGTACATACCACAATCGGTCCATTTTTTTATTTCATGAAGGTAAAAAGAGAAGCTGATTTAACACTTTGAAAATTAAGTCGTATGACGTGACAGGTGTGGTAGCCTATTACATACCCGGGTATTAAATTCATAAATCAGAGACTTATGATTTTAATCTTGGTAAATTTAGTCGATTACCGCAATAAAAGTAATTCTGTCATACATAATCAACCACTTTAATTTGAAAAGCTAGATATCGGTTCAATTCCCTCTACAATTTTAATCGTAAAAATTATGTATTATATATATAGTGCTAAATAAATAGGTTATTCAAACACAAGTCATTTTACCCCGCTGCTAAACTTCGTACAATGCAATTTATTACAAAATAAAATCACAAATAAACGCGCTTACTTCCACAGGTTGCACTTTAACAGTATTCATACTAAGTGTAGAACTGATTGATGCCTTCTCATTGGAATAAAATACAGTAGTACTGTCACGTTTAAAATTGTCAGGGTAACTATTATTTCTATCGTTATTGACAAATGTCCCACTTTTTTGTTCAAATGTTGTAAGTAATTTGGCAAATTTATAACAACATGATGGTAATGATTCGGTCAGTGGTGGAGTGCTGTGTGTAAGTAATGGTTTCAAATAGCTGCAAAAAGAGTAACAAACTAAAATTACTTACAATTTAGCTTCAATATTAGTCAACATAAAGTGAAGCGCGAGACGTTGAATTACATTATAATACAACAGTCTAATATCTAGTAGGCGCAACGCTCTAACCTGCTGTAAACGTAATTCTACTGGTATTTTCTAGTAAATTAAGACAGGTTATATCACAGAGCATTGTACACCAAACGAGTGGTTAATATGTAAATTGCACACCAAAAATTCTTTGATCTCAAATACGATTACCAGCAGGGTTTGGATTGCAGGCTCCTAAAGAGTCCCAAAATGGAATGACCAATTTTCCCTGATCGATAATGGTTGTTAAGATGAAGTCAATCTGTGACATAAAGTATGTTTGGATTTAATGACTCCTATAAAGCCCCTATGGTAACTTTTTACAAATTGGATAGTTTCTTTTTGATGATCTTAAACATGACAAAATACAAAACAGTTATTTCACTTTTCCTTAACCAAATACTTTAAAAAATAACACACTGACAGGAGATGAAGGATAAAACATACTACTCTCAAACTAGTTATATTACCCGCAATATTACAATAAATACAAGTCTAAATATATCTAAGATGTGTAAATGCAATTATCATGAAGTGATAGGAAAGTATTCTTCGTAATTCATTTGATGTTTTTACCGGAAACTTCTGAGTCTAAAACTGTTTATAAAATAAACTTATTTTATTCAGGGAATATTTAAAGTGATAGATGATAATTATTAGGTAGTATTTCAGGAGAATATTTTAACCAAGCTGATCAGTCATTTAATTCTGAAGGTACGAAAAAGGACTCGATTGATACAGAAACTACCTGTAGCAAGATGTTAAAATAATGTGATTTAGACAATGAATCCAGCGAACGACCTGACCTATTTAGTTGGAGAAGCTGACAAATCACAATGCACAACTATATTGATATCAAAACCAAAACGTAAAGTCAATCTTTGTGAATGAAACACCTAAAAAACATTTAAAGAAACCAAGGGAATTAACCAAGTCAGATCTACGTAAACTCAACTGACGGGGAAACTATCATATTCAGTTAATTTAGATTAGGAATGAATAAAACAAATTTTATTATGGGCTCTGACAAAAATAGTGTTAATCAATACAATAGCCCTGTGATATGAAAGGCATGCAAATTCATGTAAACGATCACTTACAATTTATCGAAACTCATCCAATGAGAACTACAGCAACTATGATCATCAACCAAATCTTCTTCCGTATCTGTATGCGGCTAGAAAGAAAAATCATCACGGTTTTGATTTGACATTAAAATAAAGACGATAATAATACACCACGTTAGAAAAAGTCAGACAAGCTAGGAGATTAGAACACTTCTCATAGGTTTAAGCTAAAAAAAATATATTATTGTGGATTACTTAAAATTAACCTCTGAAGCATAATCATTTAGTTACTTGGATTCTAGCTTCCAAAGTAAGTGTAGTTATGATGATTAATAAATTAATATGACAAGCCACATGTTTTTTTCTTAAAAATGGATGACTAAGTAGTATGCAAAGTTATTTTCTAACTTAACCAATGACGTAACCGGTATATTGAAAAGAATATTACAGAATATGGTTTGAAACTAACTAATTAACACTATTTTGAATAAGTCTTTTAACGCTCACGGAAAAATTTGAATCAGTGCCTACGATGCTATTATTACCAGTTAATAAATTTGATGTCATAATAACCTAGAATTTGTACATATAATTATCTCTCAGTAAATGTCACAATTTAAGTAAACTCAAACAAGAAGACCCTAGCTATATTTCGAGAAATCTAGATTAATTTCACACATGTCCTAATAACGAGCTACCAAGCGTTGATGATAATGAATTATCAGAAAGATTGGAAGGAAAGTTTTGCTTAATCAAATACAATAAGATTCAATTAATTGGTACCTACTTATCTACCTTATATTATATAATTAACCATAAAATCCATTTCTTTGTGATAAATAAAATATCTGTTTTCACCAGAATATTTAACATAAATAACTAAGAAGGGTTGAAAATTACGTACTGACCGACTGATCAAAACATTGATTAAGTTTATTTGTGATGAATCGGGTACAACCTCAACATTATTGTGTAGCTATTGGTAGTCAGTTAATCATGATTTTTATAAACTTTTTATTTATCTTACTAAAAAGATCATCACTATTTCTAACTTGTTTTCAGTATAAATTCTAATCTAATCCAAACTCATATACATAAGCATAAAGTTATGGGGATAAAAAAACAATGGCAAGAGATTCACTTCATGACTTACTTGGTTTTTACTGTTGCAATCTACACCAACACTAAATATAAACGAAGGGAACAGCTTAATAAGCATTTTACATCAATCCATAAAACAGAAATTATTAATACATTTACAAGAACTAATTGCCAATTAAATAAATTGAAATGCGGAAAAAAACGATTGATGACATGAAGATACAAAAAATTCCTATACTGTAAACAATGTTATTTTCAATTAGATAGTTTGAATCCAGCATCTAAACAAGAAAATCCCAAAAGAATCCCATTAATTTGATAATTCAATTATACACATTTTACACCCATGATTTCGAACTATAATATGGCCACGACTAAACCTGAGTCGGTCAGTCACAGTTCTGTAGCTCAACATGAAAATCAGTAGCTGGATACCATAATCGACAATTTCAGTATCCTGACTCCTTAGGAAAATTTGTGGATGTGTGTCATTCGTTATGAAATCTTTGTAACTATATACATAAGGCGACTCTCGGCCAGACAAATAACAAGAAAAATTAAGCTAACAACATACGATCACGATACGTAAAATTGCTAAGGCAACTGTGAAAAAAATATTTAGTAATATAACATGAACGACGAGAAAATGTTTGTTATAATGATGTGGATGATATCAGAATCATCTCAATAAGAAAATCTCACTTTATATATATATATATATATATATATATATATATATATATATATATATATATATATACATCATAACCAACATTTTAAATTTCAGCTACGTATGTTAAGAACTTAAAAATTTATAGTGAATTTACGAAACTTCAAGTAAGAGCAGGCACCTTCTCCCGTTGATTTTCACGACTGAATAGACTAGCTACAGAGTCTCTTTAAATGGATATATCGTGCGTTTATGTCTGGCAGTGACCAGCGACGGAAGTCGAAAAGTACGTCTAGCTTTCACGATGAGGATGATAGCTTTATGTTTTTGAATAAACAGGTAACAGGTCCGGATTACATTTGCAACATCAAAAACTCATAATAACGTGCATAACAGATATACCAATGTTTTAATTGACTTCAAAGAGCAATTTTGTACGTTGAATCTAGATACCCTATACCTGAATCTAGAGTAGTGTTATGCAGTACTGTAATCTACTGTAAGTTTTTTTTAAATTAATTAATTTTAACACATAGATTTTGGTGCAAGGAGGCACCAAATACATATGCGCTACATAAATCATTCGATTTGTGTGATGGCTGGGATATTGCCCGGGTGCGCAGACCGAAGCAGGTGGTTTTCTTAGGGGGCCACATCCGGAGCCTTCGACCTGAAGGTTTAATACACAAGGCAGTGGAGCATCGTAAGGAGATGCAGTCCCATGGTAGCCGGTGATCAACGATTGGTTCATACGCCGTTTGTTCCTTCAGAATACTGGAGCCCACATGCACCATTGATTCGGAATCAGGGTTTTCCAACTACCCTAGGTGGACTCTCCATGTCCACCAACTCCGTTAAAACACATTCGCTTTCCGTCCTCTCAATTTCGTAAACAACACCCCTGCCACGAGAAGGCAGTGAGTAGGACTTCCCTGGCAGATGCTATGTACGCGTGGCCATGTGAGAGCACGTCAAGAGGGAGAGCAGACTCTCCCCACTCTCGGCCGTACCAGGGCATTTGGGGGCTCTGTAAGTTTGATAACTTGATAAGGTTCACATCTGAGTATACTTAAGTGGTTGAAGGTAAAAGGAGAAATTACGTCATGTCACATTATTTTTTGAATAACACTAACACACCCATAAAAACTTACGGTATCTGCAATCTGTGAAGTAACGATATGGCAAAACAACCTCCCAATAACACCGTAGTCATAACTATTACAATAATCGTTGAAAAAAACATCCGACGTATTTCAGAACTTGTATTGCGAATCGCTAATGAAAAAGCCATGGCACCCCGAAGGCCTGAGAAAAAGATCATATGTTGAAAATTTAAAGTGATTTTGTTAGATTTATCCTTCCTGTTATTATCAGCTGAAGTAACTGCGACACTACTTGAATCAATTGAATTCGACAAAAATGATGATCCAGGCACAATATTTTTATCACTAGAGTAAGATAGTTGAGAATTGGAATCAAACTTTCGCTTCAAACATTTTGTAGAACAGGAACACTGATAAGTTCGACAAAAGTTTATGAGGGCTGTAAGTGGATATACGCTGACTGCCCGAGCAATTACACATGAGAACAATGCAATAAATACAAATCGAGCATTCCAATAATGATGAGGGAAAGTAAACGTTGAAACACCGATATATGCGAAAACAAAGTTTTCCGACAAGAAGTTAAGTAGTTCAAAAAACTAAATCAAAATAAATAATCATCAAATTAAGTTAATACTTTATAACTTGATCTAAATAATTCAACTGAATAAATAAAATGTGTCTATAAACTTCCTGTATCACAAACTGGTGTCCTGTACGTTGCTACGTGCGTATGGTCTGTTGACAGTTCCTGGTTGCTAACGTAGTAAGATGAAATTTCGCTCTCAGGAACCTGACTGATATCGGATTAGTAATGACGGTTTCACAGATCTAGGAGCACGACCACATAGCACAGGAGATAGATACTTGATGCTCGTTACGTAGTCTTTTTGTAAGTAGCTTTCTACATAAACTCCGTGCTTTGTAAACCTTACAGTCGACGCTAGAAATCTGTGGGACAATGTGCGCTGTTTTTAAAGCCAAACGTCACTACACCCCCCGTTCGTTTTCGGAGAGTTAGTGATAATGGTTCGCCGTGAGAAAAGTCTTATTGCAGCCATACTCCAGTAGAGATGGTAGTATGACTTCACTCATGGACTTCGCACTTGGTGTTTTTGTTCATGTTGCTATCCAACAATTCTGCTTACGTGATAGACCTCAAAGAACAAGTGTTCCAGTAAACATACATAGGCCTGGATTTCACGATAAGCAAGCTCGGGTAGCATTACGAATTGGTAGACAGTAGAGATTCAGAGTATATATTGATATACCTACTAAATAAAGTCTAGAAAGAGGACAAGACGTTTTTTTATATTGAAACATGATAGTTCGTTCCTTAAACTTGAGAAGTGATTTATTTCAAACGACGGTTTCTAATTACGACAGGCTTACGAATAATTCTAGAAGAACTCCTTTACTTAACTGTCACATGTACAAATTTCTGTGAGAATTCCCCTTTTACTTCATAAATGTTGCAGGCTGCCGAATTACTTAAGTTACCGATCGATACGATTTTTGAGTACAATGTTGTCTATTGTTTTCTAAACATCGCGATGAAATTAGATAACGAGGTATTTCAGGTAGTATATTCAGTAAACTTTTGAAAATATTGTTAGACTGAAAGTTAGAAAAATGTCATTGTAAGCCTGAAGCTGGCTTCAAACATGACATACAGATATGTCATCGGTAAACTAACTTTTACTAGTAAATCCTCTGATTTTTACATATTATTATAACTATTAAAAGGTAACTACTTGGGGAAGAGTTTTGAATACACTCATTTTATTTCATAAACTATTAAACAAATAAAACTTCGAAGATCGAAATAGTTCTTATCATGAAATGTTCCACCCTTTACCTTATTTAGGTGCAGGAAAGTGACTTAACTTCTAATAAAGCGTTTCACAAAATCTAACTATTTAGACTGAATTCAAGATAACAGGTATCATTCTGAATAATCTATTTGAATAAGGATGTCGTCAGTACATCACAACTTGTTATCTATACCATGCTCCTGATATGTAAGGGATAGCTTTTGGGTAAAAACTGTGTCGAAATAGTCGAAAGTTGACTGGTCTAACCACAAAGCAGAAGTTTGTATATCGTCCATTATTCAACTGATATGATGGGTTAAAAAGGGAAAATCACATTTCTGACTCATTATGAGTTTTTTCTTCAACATTAATTAATTAATTTAATACGATGATTACTCAGTTTAAATTTTATTTTATTTTTCAGTGGGATATTTTGTTTAGTATAACACTGATTTCAGTGCAATATTTATTCAAGATATGATATTCTTTGTATTGAATCAACATAAACTATGTTCAGCATGATATATAGCATGAGACTGTTGTAATTTCATGTGAGTGACATTTTCCTACTTATAGTGACAATTCTCATTTTGACATTTGGTAAATAAAGAGGGGACGAATCGGGCGAAGAAATTTCTTTCCAATTGAAAAATTTTTTTCGCTCGATTCGTTCCTTCTTTGTTTTCCTAATTGTTAATCAAATGGATGTGCAAACCGAGATATAAATGAGCGTATTTTGAACTAGGGTCGTCCTGTTTTGGGGGTGAACAAACCTTCACTTATACCAATATTCTGTGTTCTTAGCGCTGAAGAAATTGTAATAGATTCTTATTTTTCAAGTACAATTAATAGGCGGTATGGACATAACATTACCACTGATAGAAGTAATTGAAAGATTATAGTCTATGAAATGACAAGATAGGATGGTGGATAACTATACTGTACTAGCATCTGTTGACCGATCCCGGTTTATATGAGGTACAAAAAATTATACAGCTGGACGCTCGTAGATATGTTATTTGGTCCAAAACTTTAGACAGTAGCAAAGGTTATTCTATGTTTCTTATTATAGTGTGTCTTCATGATGTACAAGGCCAATCAAAACGAGAAGTAATGCATAACCAAACCATTGCTACTCCATGATTACTGCAACTATGTGCGACTGGTCAAAATTCAGAAATGAATGGTGCCACTTATGAACGATTACCCAATCTTAGAATCTACTTCATATATTTATTCGTACAAGTATTTAAAAAAAGGGAAGCTTACAGATTTTGTCCATACTTTAGATTCCTGGGATAGGTTGTTATAAGTGTAGTGTGCTTGAGTCACACCACAGAACAACACGGAAACAATACCTAAAAATAAATGAAATCTTAAGTTGACGTATGAAATGAGATAGAAGTAAGTAAACAAGTGTACGTTAGACAAGTAAAGACGCTATATTGATGGCTGATATAAAATATTTCCATAAGAGAAGACACATGTAAATTCTGATAATTACTTATTTCACCAAATATGGTGAAAAATGTTGTTTGTGCCTTGAATTTATAGGTTTCATATTTTAACATATCACGGTTTCAAGATGAAAATACAGTCAACACCAAATGACTCCACTAGCTGCCATGTCTAAGTTCAGTTCCAAAATTAGTAAATACTTAATTATTTTGTTAATGATTTACGAAATTTGCCAACAAAACTGACAATCAGTAATAAAATAATAACGCAAATAAACTACTGAAAAATAATTTTGAAAGTTAACGCTAACGAGTTTATGTTACACACAAAGAATAAGTTCGATAAGCTGATGATTTCTTATTGATATAAATGCTGAAAAACCAACCAGTACATCTGTGAGAGATCTCGCAGTAGAAAGCTAATTAAAGTCCATATGATTAGGACTGAGTTTAAAAATTTTGATTTTACGGTGATAGTTTTGTCATTGTGTAAACGCTAAACTCTAAAATAGGTGTTGACCAGCTATCTTAACGAAGGAAAGACATGTTTAATCAATAAAACTAAGTTTGTAGTTACTTCTCCAAAACGTAAGTAAACTATGTAGATCCTACATCTAACAAACAGTATCCAGAAAGTCAATAATCTTATTGTAGTAGTCTTCTAGTTGTTATCCGGCTTTTGATGAATTGTCAGGAAATATGAAAAAACAAACCTAATGATTGTATTGAACATCAACTATGTTCTACTTGTTAAAAAAGTAACATACAAATATCTCAAAAAGAATAAAATATTTTTCAAAGACTACAAAAATTTGACACATTCACACGACAGAGGCTGCAACTGAAGTGGTCAAAAAGCGTACGGTTAAAAAATAAATTGAAAGCAAAGATTCAGGATGGAAACTAAGTATAGCATATAATGTGTCAAAACGAATATTCGAGAAATGAAGAAACTAACCAAAAATTAGTTCAGAAAACTGTGATTCAATGAACTTACGAGGAAAATTAAGCTAAAAAAAATCAGTGACAACAAGTGTATATTAAACGTCCTAATGATAGTTTTGCGAAAGGCAGAAAACCTCAGACGAGATTTCAACTGGTATTTGGTGTATAAGTTCTGGATTATATAGTGGCACACACTCTGCAGGCAAAAACAGTAATGATTGTACGAAAGAAGGTTGTTGGGCTACTTCTATTCACTTAAAAGCGAAGTACTTTAAGATCTGAGATTTGAAAATATATGAAGGCTTCTCTGAGTCAGTTCTTTTCATAACATGTACAGTTTTATTGACCGTGAGGCACGGGTAGTTTGGGCCAATAGAAACTAAAAATTAACTTAGGCTACTGATGGCTTCATAATAAATACACTCATTAGGATTGACAAAACAATTATGCAGCCCTATTTTCAATATAATATTGTGTAGTCAAAATAATAAGGACGTTAGTGTACACAACATACAGCCATATGTTGATGCAAATAACGAGATTTAGTGATTATACGGATTTCCTCATTTTCTACTAAAAGTAGTTACCGCGCATAAAACAAAACGCTTTGACAGTAAAATTAGAGCTGTTATTTAGTGCATGAAATAACTTGTTCAAAAAAGAAAGAATTCCACAAATTAAGAACGGTACGAAGGTGTCAATATGGGTAATGCACGTTAGAATATCTGGAAAAAATGTATATTTAGAAAATGATCAAGTTTCCGATACGATCAAATGCAAACAAGCAAACCAGTAACAATATTTTAATGAGTATTATCAGCAAATATAGAATATCTAAATTTGGTTGATAAAAATACGATTGTATACAAAATTAGTTGGTTTAAATTTTGCTAGAATATACATTATTTTACACTTATATGATTTTTAATATACCATAATTAAAGATGGTCTTGTAGGAGAATCAGTTTATTCAAGATTGTCATTGGTCAATTTATTGATATTTTTAAAATAACTATCTTAACGTAGTTTACTTAATTTCATTACACAATGGAAGGCTTTTTATGGTGTTCATCACGGATTACAGCGTCAATTACAAGCGAACACTAGGCTTGTAAGGATAAGTAATGAGTATACTAATAAACTATAGTTAGAATTATTTAGATCATAATATGCAACCACTGAAAACTTTTGATATCAAAGCTTTATTCAATTCTTCTGTAATGTGGATTATTGTAGTAAAACTTATCAATTGCGCTATCTACCGAGATAACTAGACTTAAATGTAGCAAATAAACGAAATAATGGAGGTAAAACTTTGCTTTATAAAAAGGATATTTAAGACGTGACTATAATGTTTTGCCATTTATTGGAATCACATAGAATACAAATCATAAAACTACCAGTTCATCAAATGGACGATATAACTTACAGGACAAGTATCAAATATTATTCAGATGTGGTTTAAAATCGAGCTAATTATAAATAATTGTAATTAAAATATCGCTCTCATATTAAATGAGACGGGACAGAAGAATATTTATCGCAATATGAGTAACTTCAGATTTAACCATATTTTAACGAGCCAAAAATAACCCGGAAACTTGCATAACTTTGTGTCATTCCTGATCTCCAGGGAGTTCCAATTAAGCTAACCCAATAATAGATTAGTGTCTTTACCTATAACTTTTGGTGTAAGTGTAATAAACAAAGTCTTGGGTAGTAGACCAGTATTTTGTAATATGCAACATCATATACTGCATTTGTAAAACATTAAAACAATACATTAAACACGCTAACTATACATCTTTCTTAAGTTATCTCATACAAACTCCAACTCCCACTCATGTTGTTATTTTGATCGCTTTCCGTTTTCCTTTTTTTCATCAAGGATTCCATTTTCGGTTGCTGGTACATACTACTTACATCTGCCCATTTAAGTAGCACACCACATAAGTACCAGTGATGTAACTTATTTAATTAAATATATCTAGCTTACATACAATAATAGTGACGTTTAGTCGAAAATGGTCATCTAGTTATATAGCATTATGATAAATCTCGCAACAAAATCAACTTTGTTCATTTCAGTACAGTGATCTTTTTCCTGATAATCGGCTTCAGGTCAACTAAGAGTGAAAATAACCAACTTAGCTATACGAGAACTATTCATCGAAGTATAATAAAATATAATATACACGTGACTGACCCGTAAACCCAACAGTTTCAGCAAAAAGAAATGTGCTATAAGACATTAGAACGAACAAAGCTGTTTCCAGTAGAGGATGCTCCTTGATGTGTGTAAATTTTGTAAGAAGAGACGTTACACAGCCAATAGAAACGCCAGTGACGAATGAACCTCCAAACATTATAAAAAAGTTTAACACAGAAGACAGGAAAGCGTGGCCATCGAAATTACCAGCAGAAATGGATCCATATTTCTCGATCGACCTGTAAAATCAAATTTACTTTGTTTTTTATCGATAATAAAGACTGCTTACTGAATATAAGACCGAAATTTAGTAACAAAAATAAACGAGCAGAATGTAACTTACTGGGCTAAGGCAATTGCTAAAGCATCGTTAAGAACACTCTCACCAAATACGAGTGCATACAAGTTGACATCAACTTTCAAGTCACTAAAGATGGCCAAAACAGTTACTAAAACTATAGCAAAGTGATAAATTCTTACCAGGATCAGTAGCAGATATAATAGCTCCAAACAAAAGGCAGTCTGAGAGACGCAAAGTTTGAGACAATGAAGTAATTCCACGGGTGAAGCCATAGCAAATGGTTCTGATTAAAGTTAAAATAATGCTCTCAGCTTACCCAACAACTAGAGCGGACAACAAAGTACCACCAAATGCATAAGTAAGAACAGCTCCAATATTTTTGAAAAAGTAGCCCTAAAAAATGAATCTGCGTTGGAATCAGACATACGCGTTTCATACTATAACCTGCTGAGAAAATTATAGGAGGAAGTAAAACATTAAAGAAGAATTCCGGGTCGAACGTAGCCTGAAAGTTATTAGACAAATTATAATACCTTGTTGTTGATTAAAGAGTTGAAATCCGATTGCTGCTCAAATTTGTACCGGAACGACATGCTTAAATTGAACTTTCCGTACTGGTCACGGACAGGAAACTCAATAATCAGTCTCTCTGGAGGCAAACGACCACCGCACGCTTCATCATTTTTACGTGAAAACACATGCATCTCCATGGTATAATTTGAAGATTTTATAGCATATCTAAGTATAAGACCAACGGCCAGTCCTACAAGTTATGAACCAAATGATGAAACTTACCATATACCACTGAAAGGCCAGTTTCGTGGATATATCGAAAGCGTCTATGTTTAAAAGCCCAGATTGTTATGACAGAAAGAGTTAGAAGCACTACATATACTAAAAGAATAAGATTATCCATTCGGTGATCATTTTGCAGCCTTTGTTCAGTGTGTTTTTCGATAATTTTACTCTCATTTGCTAGACACTCATACGGATCTGACGACGACATTTCCTATTTACCACCGATGGTAATTAGAGTACTACTAACACTTGAAATAGTTGATAAAAACAAACATACCCGTTTTTGTTTAGGATGAATTAGCACTCATGAAGTAACAACCTGTAAAGAAAAAACCCATCACAATCTTATTCATTTTTTATTTTATAAACACATCACTTTTTTGACTGGTTCAGGGAGTATTGTTACGTTATGACCTGTAGAGAATTGTTCAAACGGCTTAAATGGTTTTGGATGAAGCAAAACAAATTCGTCCCGAATGAACCACTTTGTCTGGTATTTGTGGATCACAGTTATTATAAGGTATACACCTGAAATCATGAATTCGCTGGCGTTAGTAAATTAGTATGAGCCGGAAAGGTACTCCAAGATTCGACTACTCGTAAACAGTAAAACTTTTTCCTTTGGTTCAACCTACCACGTTTCACCTATAAATTCCCAGTATTTACCATGATTTATGTGTTAGGATTGACGATATTACGGTTCATGATGTTTTAGCTTTCTATAGTTTCACCATTGTTTCGCTTGTTCATTCTAAGCTGAAAAGATCCAATAGTTTTAGACATTCATGACGAGCGTTGATGATTAAAAAAAAGGATGAACCTTGCTGAAGCTTTGCTTCTAGGATGACAAGGAATTTATTGATAGTTGATAAATAGGTAGCCAGACAGACTGCAAATTTCATAACCTCGGGAGATTTTCGAAAGCACCTCGAGTCAGTGGTTTGATTTTTTTTTCATTCGAACGATTTCGAAAGATTGAATGACGTCTACCACCTTTCACTTGATCATAATCACGCTTTGGGATAATCATACAACAATATGATAAAAGAGGTGAGTCCTCTTTCCTCAGAAAAATGTAGCTACATATTTTAAAATAATGTTGGCTTTGAGAAAAACTTTCCTTAATTCCGCCTGTAGCTCTTATAGGGTTGCTGCCGGTCCCAAGCCCGGGTAAAGGAGGAGGGTCGGGCATGGGGTTAGCGTCCCCATCCCGTAGAAAACTAACTCGCTAAAAAAACGCTTACCAGAAAAAATAATCCAAACCATTTTTACTCAGCCCTGGGAGTTAGAAGGTCTTCATTTAGAAGAATTATCACGCTTCATGGTGAAAGCCGAGTTCCTTCGGAAGCCACGAGGCCGATGCCCCTTCTGACAACCAGAGCGACCATTTATTTAGGTACATGGAACGTTCGAACAATGTGGGAAACCGGGAAGACCAGTCAAATATCAATGGAAATGAGGAGATACAACTTAGCAGTACTGGGAATCAGCGAAACCCACTGGACCCAAGCTGGACAGAAAAGGCTAGCTACGGGAGAGATGCTGCTATACTCCGGTCACGAAGAGGACAATGCTCCACACACTCAGGGAATTGCTCTAACGCTGTCCAAAGTAGCAAGAAAGGCAATTGTAGGATGGGAATCTCACGGATCCAGAATCATCAAAGCATCATTCAAAACAAAGAAGGAGGGGATCTTAATGAATATTATCCAATGTTATGCACCCACCAATGATAGCAACGACGACATTAAAGATCAATTCTACGAGCGGCTGCAGTCAGTCATTGAGAAATGCCCAAGGAAGGACCTCACCATTCTAATGGGAGATCTAAATGCCAAAGTCGGAATAGACAACACTGGATATGAAGATATTATGGGACGACATGGACTGGGAGAAAGAAACGAAAATGGAGAAAAATTTGCAAATCTATGTGCATTCAACAAATTGGTCAAAGGAGGCACAATATTTCCACACAAGCGTATACACAAGGCTACATGGATCTCACCGGACCACACTACAGGGAACCGAATACATCATATCTGCATCAACAAAAAATTCCGAAGGACAATGGAAGATGTGAGAAGCAGGAGAGGAGCTGACATAGCTTCAGATCACCACCTAGTTGTAGCCAATTTAAAACTGAAGCTAAAAATGAACTGGACAAGTGGACAAACAGCACTACAAAGGTTCAATACAGCCTTCCTTCGAGATACTGACAAACTCAATGAATTCAAGATAGCTCTCAACAACAGGTTCCAAGCATTACAAGATTTACTGAAAGAAGAAGAACTAGTATGGAGGACAACTGGAAAGGCATCAAGGAAACATTAACTTCAACGTGTCAAGAGGTTCTGGGTCTAAAGAAATACCATCATAAGGAATGGATCTCTATAGAAACACTGGACAAGATCAAAGAAAGGAAGAACAAGAAGACAGCAATAAACAACAGCCGAACACGAGCAGAGAAAGTCCAAGCACAAGCTGAATACATAGAAGCAAACAAACAAGTGAAGAGGAGCATTAGAGCCGACAAGAAGAAATACGTAGAAGAACTAGCAACGACGGCAGAAAAGCTGCTAGAGAAGGAAATATGAAACAGCTTTACGATACAACGAAGAAACTAGCAGGAAAATACAGTAAACCAGAGAGGCCGGTCAAAGACAAAGAAGGCAAGCCAATCACCAAAATTCAACAACAGCGTAACAGATGGGTAGAATACTTCGAGGAACTCCTGGATAGGCCGGCTCCAATGAATCCACCGGACATCGAAGCAGCACACATAGATCTTCCTATAGATGTCAATCCACCAACGGCGAAAGAAATCAGAATGGCCATCAGACAAATCAAGAGCGGGGAAGCAGCAGGACCCGACAATATACCAGCTGAAGTCAAACGTCGAAGTAACTACAAACATGCTTTACCTTCTATTCAAAAAGATTTGGGAGGAGGAACAAGTGCCGATGGACTGGAAAGAAGGACACCTCGTCAAGATTCCAAAGAAAGGAGATCTGAGCAAATGTGAAAACTACAGAGGCATTACACTACTGTCAATACCAGGGAAAGTCTTCAACAGAGTGTTGCTGAACCGGATGAAGGATGCAGTAGACGCCCAACTTCGAGATCAACAGGCTGGATTTCGTAAGGATCGGTCGTGCACAGACCAAATTGCAACACTACGTATCATCGTCGAACAATCAGTTGAGTGGAACTCGTCACTGTTCATCAACTTCATTGATTATGAAAAGGCATTCGACGGTGTAGATAGGAGGACATTATGGAAACTTCTTTGAAACTACGGAGTTCCTGAGAAGATTGTCAATATTATCCGGAACACATACGACGGACTACTATGCAAAGTAGTGCATGGAGGACAGCTGAAAGATGCATTCCAAGTAAGGACCGGAGTCAGACAAGGCTATTTACTCTCTCCCTTCTTCTTTCTTCTGGTGGTCGACTGGATTATGAAGACCTCGACATCTGAAGGAAAACACGGAATACAATGGACAGCTCAAAATCAATTAGACGAGTTGGACTTTGCAGATGACCTGGCCCTCCTATCACGTACACACGAACAGATTCAGATGAAGACAGACAGTGTAGCAGCAGTCTCTGCATCAGTAGGCCTCAGCATACACAAAGGGAAAACTAAGGTCCTCAAATTCAAAGCGGAGAACAGTAATCCAATCACTCTTGATGGCGAAACTCTGGAAGATGTAGAGTCCTTCACATACCTACGAAGCATCATCGATGAACAAGGAGGTTCAGATGCAGATGTGAAGGCGAGGATCGGCAAAGCAAGGGTCGCATTCCTACAATTGAAGAACATATGGAACTCAAAACAACTTTCTACCAATATCAAAGTAAGAATCTTCAGTACCAGTGTCAAGGCAGTTCTACTACATGGAGCTGAAACTTGGAGAACTACAACAACCACCATCAAGAAAGTACAAGTATTTATAAATAACTGTCTACGCAAGATATTCAACATCCATTGGCCGGATACCATCAGCAATAGCCTTCTGTGGGAGAGAACAAACCAACTTCCAGCTGAAGAAGAAATTAGGAAAAGACGATGGAAATGGATAGGACATACATTACGCAAATCGTCAAACTGCATCACGAGGCAAGCCCTAACTCGGAATCCTGAAGAAAAGCGGAAAAGAGGAAGGCCAAAGAGCACATTGCGTCGGATAATAGAAGCAGATATGAAAACGATGAATTACAACTGGACGGAGCTAGAAAGGATTCCCCAGGACAGGGCTGGATGGACAATGCTGGTGAGCGGCCTATGCTCCTTCACGAGGAGTAACAGGCGTAAGGTAGTAAGTTTGAGAAAAACTTTCCTTAGGTCAGAGAGGAATTCGTTAGTTACAGTTTGCACAGTTCCAAAGTGTTTCACTTCAGAAAGTAGTATTTATGACAGAAGTGTCGAAAAAATAACTTTTGTATTTTGGAAAGAACACAAAGGACTGCCACACGTTCAGCACTGGAGATACTTGTCTTACCGAGAAATCAAAAAACCTAGGAACACACAGGGTTCCACTACCTAAGCACTGAAAAAAGGACGGTTTGATTGTTTAACATAGAAATTTAAATGTATTTTGAATTTTACTCATGTGTTTTTCTCTCAGTTATATCAGAATATCATTGAGTAAACAGCATGTGGGCTAAAAATTCGGTAAGAAATAAAACCCATTCGGTATACAAATTTTTTCACCGAGTGGTATCTAAACCATTAAATAATCTATTCAATAAAGCACATGCTAGCAGGAACCCATAATAAACCTCCGGCCTTCTTCAATCGATAACCTAATTTGATTTTTTCAGTTTGCTGAATCCTTTGGTTATTTCTGATATCCGGTAGTGTTACGAGTTAATATCAACAGAACGATTTTAGTAAATGTACATGATGTTAATGGAGAGTAAGTGCACTTTTTGTCAAATTTATCGTGATAACATGTTCCGTGCTGGTAGATGCTCCTCGTTTTATCAGCTGAAGAAACCAGATTAACGACCGAATAGGCCTTCACTTAGATTGTGGGACAGAGCAGTTTGAGAGCAAAATTGTCTTTTTCAAGCATACGGGATTGATTAGCATTCAGTACGAAATAGTGGGAAGTATAATGACGTGATAAATAAGTAATTAACTTTCATGCTTAAATCTTCTCTTTTCCCATGACCTTGACTGCCCTAAATTACAGTGGCCATTCCGTGTTTGAAGTGCCTGAAGTCATTTGCGTGCTTGTATGCTAGCAGGATTCTTGGGTGCTATTATGTTCACGTGGTATGTTTACGCCAAAAAACCACCAGTCGTCGCTGACAACATAACCTATGCTCTTCTGCTTTTTTGGCGTTAATAGCTGCTGTGAAGCATTGTTCGAAATAGATCGGTTGGAAAATATCTTGGGGAGAGTCTATTATATCTG